AACGCAAGGCAGCCGTTACACTGAAAATCGCGGCTGAAATAAGAGTGAATTTGACCATTCACGTCTTCAGAATTCGTGATGCCAAAATAAGCGAGTAAACATCTTCGTCGTACGTGAGGATGTTTGAATGTTTTGCTAAGAAAGAAGCAAGTAATAAAACCTAAAAGCAACACAGAAGCAGAATATCATTGCTAAAAGACTTTACTGAAGCGCTCCCATCCAATTTCAAGCAAAAAATCTTTATTTGAAATCACTCGACAAAATTCGCCATCTGCTTATTCAAATAGAATGAATGGTAGAATATTAGGATTGTATGATACGGGCATGGACGTACGCTACAAGCACATAATACAATAGCAGTTCTTGGTTGTGTTGTCAGATAACTGAGACAATAATGTTAGCGTTTGGCAGGGAGGATGCGGCCCGACGTAGGTTTCAGAAATCAGAATTTGGTTGACAGTAGAATAATTTATGAAGTCAGCGCTGAGTGAAGCACTTGATATATTCTGTAGTAATATTCTTACGATTTTTTTTTTCTTTTTCTTTTTGTGTGTGTCAACTGGAATATTGTAAGCTTGTGTTACTAACACGTTAGAATACTCAGCAAATAATTATTTAGATATATTAACTAACCCTACACATACTCAAAATAGTTATGTCGCTAGATGCAGTGAATACCTGCAAAAAATAATATTTGACAACTCCACAGCATTTAGGAACAAAAATATTTATCAATTTGTTTACATTTTCATATTGCTCTTTTGTAGACTTACTTAATAAAGTAATGGGGATATGAGTAAATGAATATAAAAAACTTATTTTACCAATGAATATCTGAGCATGCATTTAATAATTAATGATATAAATTTGTACACTATTCAGGCTCAAAATATGCATACATTTCTTTTTTTAAATTATGAATTATGGCCTTCATTATAATGTCTCATAACATCATCACAGAAATCATATTGTCGCAAAAAGAGCCACTTGTGATATATAGTTTCAAATAAAAATGGTTATCTTGAAACCGTGAGCAAATGTCGAATGACATAGCCACGACGTACAATTTCTGCAAGGCTTAACCCCCCACCCCCCTGTAAGCCAGAAAGTGGGGTTCTGGTCCCTCACGGTACCATGGAAACTTTGAAATCCCAAACACTAGAGCAGCAATGGAGCGCATGAAACCACTGAGCTAACATACAAACAAAATATGTATATATATTTTCAATTTATTATGATCTATGGGCCTACAAGTTATATAAGGTTGCTTCTAAATAAGACACACTGAAATGTCCGCATAAAAGGTCGCAAGAACACTTAAAATGCCTTAATTTGCTGTTAGTGTACTTCACTTTGCCGGAGTGAAGAGGAAGCATCTAAAATAATTTTTCAAATACACAGCTCAAATGCATCCCTGGGTCCCTGAGCTATCTCTAATCACCCATCCTCCCGTTTTAGCTACACTGCAATTTTACTGTGATGGGCTATGCATGTTTTTTAATATTTTATACGATGTTATAATTCATCATTTTTAGGTAGTTAAATTTAGGTGGATAAAAAGTAGATTACTGCCATTGTATAATCGTAACAGACTAAGACATCTGAAGGTACTTTCCATACAGATTAATGAAATATCATTAATTTCTAAAGCCTGTTCCAGTGTCATCACAAAACAATAAATTATGCATTATATTTCTATTTAGCACCTTAACCCGTGCATTAACTTAGTTTTGCAATTGAGTTTTGAACACTTCTTTGCAACTCGTCTGTAGTTTTGCATAATGTATTTCATCTTCTGACGAATTGTATAGTGTAATTACGAGGTTCTAAGGGAAAACAGCCCCTTGTTAGATGCAACGTCCGTAGTGAATTACTCCACAACTCGTACAAGGGATCGTTTCCAATTATGGCTGCGGGAGGAACAAACTTTTTGGTGCACTTTTATAACCAAGGGCGCAGGGTGGTGCAGTACGATCTATAATATGGTGTTGCAGACCCTTTATAATAGATTCAGCTCATTTTGTATATCAAGCCTATTTGTTCATATGGAATAACCATTGTTTTGCCATTGATTTTATAGAATGCAGCTCCACATTGACTTTTGATTAAATATCCAAGATTATTTCTAAATAAAACGTTAATTCATCTCGTAGAACACAATATATCTGACATCTAGATTATAAAAATCACAGAAAGTAACCTTCTTTTTTTTTTTTTACAATTATCAACGCCTCATTCATTATGATCATTGTCAATATTAAAACAATTTATGCAAAATTAGACGGATAATAGTAAGCCATATGTCACCTGCCTAAAACAAAAACGCTGATTACCATTTGATTTTGATATTAACGATACAATTACATGGGATAAGTGAAATTGGGGAAAGAAGAGGAATTTTAACCGAGAAATATTACTCACGTGTCCAGAGTCACAAGGAACAAAGAAGTAAGACTCTTTGTCAAGTGTCACTTAGACAAACACAACCTGAAGGCACGACAACTGAAGCTCTTGTGGTGTATCTGAGGGAGCCGAGGAAAAATGGAGGTTGAAGAGCAGGTGTCGAGGTCGGTTAGCAGGTGTTCGTGGGAGGTGTCTGTTGCCACACCATTTGTGTGATATAGGAGAGCGAGGGAGAAGACAATGTGCTTTCTTAGCTTAGCGTAATTTAGCATTTCTTTGTTTATGCTACATCTAAGGCTACTAGAATATGTTAAGCATAATGTATGGTATATCTTTACGTTTATTCAAAGAATTCTAAGATTCATTTTAGCAATTTCATTTTACAACTTCACGTCATTTGCAGGCATTTTGACGTAACGTCTTGCAAAGAAAATTTACTTGTATCTTTTAATTCAGATCTTATTTCAACTGGATATTCTAGAGGTAGCGTTATAAGATCTACAAACAAAACTTAACGAGTTTAATTTCTTCTTTATATATCTCAAATCAACCACTGATATGGTATCATGAGATGTAAATCGATTTTTTATGTATGTCCCATGATGTACATTTTACATCAACATTAATATATTCCAAAAAATACATGATAAAGAATTCGCAAATTGTTGACTACGCATGCGCCTCTCCTAAAGGAAATTCTCTCATTAAGAAATCAATTAATCCTGCAAAACAAAATTTATATTTTCGTTGGCCTCATCACGTCTCATCATATCCTACCCTAACGACCTGATTGGTAACTAGCACGATTTTAGGCAAGTGTTGGCAGTGATGACCGTTAGTGGAAAACAGTTGTTCTCGAATATTCTTCCGTCACTGAGTGAAGGACACGTGATCAGGTATCAATTTATTTGATATTTGGTTTTCTCACGTGTAAAATTCTCTCTCTCTCTCTCTCTCTCTCTCTCTCTCTCTCTCTCTTCCTAAATTCAATTATATGAAGGCGTCTTGAAACGCTAGACGTCTTGTTCCATGCTTTGATGAGACTGTCAGAGTCGTGTAGATGTCCACTACTGTGATCCTGCAAATATTTGAACATTTGTAAATGAAGGCAGGGCTGGATTAAACGGGCAAGGTGTACTGGATATCATCTTGACAGCGAAAAATCTTCATCCGGTCCATAAGAATGTCCTTTTGGAACTAATCGAAGTATGAAGCGGCTCCACTGTGGCAGATGTGTATGACATAAATTTAGCCAACTGATTCATGAACAGTTCGTAGGGATGGGAAGTTCTCTGATTGCACCAACTTTGCTGCAAACATCGGCTCTGGGAAATCTTGCGGTATAATGGCCAACTCTTGGCTGTGGCCATATGACAAGTGGAGTCTGGATGTCATCGTGAACTCGACTCCAGGTAGGGTATGTTCACTTGCCTAACCTAAGAATAGCTGGAGCCATATCTGAATCATCAGCTGTCAAGGTCAGAGTTGGCGAGGGAGGCTCTAGACTCTAGGTGTTGCTGGCCAATCACACTGACGGCAGCACCTGTGTCGGGCATCATCAGCTGTTGTGGTCATATTACTATGCATGATGAGTGCATTGACGGGTTGTGACATCTTGGCATTGAAGAAAATGGGAAAGCTAACACGAGGACAATCATTTTGACCCGTCTGGAGGCTGGCAAAAACAGATGGTGCTTTATAAGAAGAGCTCCATGTTTATAGATCTGGTCTTTTCTTCTTCTGCAACTTGCAACACGAATCAGTGGCTAAAACAAAAACAAAAGCGACAGTGAGTCTTGCTAGCAGCCATGATACATACTTTGAGTAGCTGGGCACTGTTTTGTATCATGCTGCACAGTACTGGCAATCATAGGACCGGTATGTTGCCACGATGTCTTGGAGAGAGCAGGAAGCATCCAAGGATATGATGTGCTGGACTAGCTCTTCATCCCTTGTGCCCATAAGGATCACCATCTTCAACTGGGCCTCTTCACAGACAGATGAATATCCAAGGCAAATGTCACCTTCGTATGTAACACATCTGAGACATAACCAGTAATCAACAAATGCCTTGCCTTCCATTTGCTTGCACCTGAGCAGCTCTCTCCGGCGTATGACCTCATAACATACTCCCTTGATGTGCGCCTGCAGAATATCCGCATTGTATGCTCTAATACATGAGATTCTAGGGGAAACGCAGATTCAGAGGCGAACACACTACTGCATGAATTTCACCCTGAAATGCCCAAGGATAACTATGCAAAATTTCTGTTGTCTATTTTCTCAAAGAAAAAGCATGGTAAAACATTTTTGTGACAACTATTTCATTGACTTTTAGTGCTTTATCCATTGAACAAAAGGATTGTTCATTAAAACTATGAATTATGATTACTCCTCAATCCCTGATCCGATTTTGATAAATGAGGGATCATTTTTTTAGCATTTCAAGAATTAGACCTAAACTGAGATCTTCCAGAACACTAGAAAAATATATCCAAGTGCCTACTTTTGTGAAAGCAGAGGTTTGGGAGCGACAGGTGGGCTGGTTACATCTTCAGTATTCGTACGTACTGTCTCTGGCAGGTGGAGCATGGGGAACTGCCTTTAAGCAAGGGGTGACAGTGGCAATGGGGTAGGAAGGAGCCAGCACGATGCCACGCAGTGGTAGTTGCCTGCAAGACACAAAAGGAGAAAGGCCATGTCTCAGCGCTTTTTCACCGCTAATGAAAGGGCCAAGCAAAAAAAAAAAAAAAAAAAAAAAAAGCGCCGTTCAGAGTATCGCAATCGCTGCCCAACGGTCATACAGCAATTATAAAGTATCGCACCATAGATACTGGTGATATATAAACAAAGTACTCACATAATACATATATAAGGATTATGTTCTCCAGATACATATGTCATATATATATATATATATATATATATATATATATATATATGTGTGTGTGTGTGTGTGTGTGTGTGTGTGTGTGTGTGTGTGTGTGTATACATATACATATATACATACTGCTGACTAGTCTGGTGTTTTAAAGGGTGCAGCCGTGCATAAGCCATTATCTCTACTGAGAAGACTTCTGTAGTGCCTCCTTGTTGCCAGTCATGAAAATCAGGTACTTTGCGATCCTAGGCTGATAAGGGATTGTGACTCCGAGAGTGATCGCGTGCCTCGAGTGCTGAGGCGAGGAGGGTGACCTCCTGGCCTGTGACTGCTCTGCTAGGTCTTGGTCTGCATCTGGTGCTCTCTCTGCCTGACGAGACGTCCTTATATCCAGCGACTCCTTGTCCTGCTGGCATAGGTGCCTGGTACCATATTCTTTGGCTGTTCATTCTTCCGGGCGTGATGAAGGGCTGTGTCGCTGGAAGAGAAAGTCTTGGGGTGGCAAGGAAGGTGTGAACAGCTATTTCCTCTGGACTGACAGAGGAAGGCACAGCTTCCGTTTCGACCTTGGAAGGACAGAAGTGTATTGTTGACATCGCTCGGCCACGCAAAGCGGCTCGTCCTCGAGCTGTCTGCAACATCTTAAGCGGTGATGGCGCATTTGGTGGCAAGCTCCCAATAGCCTTCTGCAGATGGTTGCTGGTGCCCCATGGTCCCTTAGGTCGTTGCGTGTCAGGGTAGCAGCGTGGCGGAGGTTCACAGTGAGGTCCAACATTCAGTAGGAGGGTCACATCGTCCTCAGGGGCTGAAATATGTGTACCAGGCCAGTAAAAGGGCTAAGGAGGATGGTAATTTTACTTGTCAGTACCTTAGTAAGATGCCGGAAAATGAGAGTAATAAGAACATTTGTTAAGAGAAGGCATGTCATGAGAAGGTGTTAATCACTCAGGATCTGTTAGGATTAATGAGCTCAAAAGAGTACAAATATTATGTAGGGAGAAAGTTAGTGAGCGAGAATTCCATATCTTCGGTTTAAATAGGCTAGTAACAATGCTTTGGACACTTAGAGTAACGTGAGCGTCTCGTCGCTGTAAAAAAAAAACGTAAGCGCGGCGGTGGCGCGCAATTCGGAGGCAGCTTGAACTGAACAAAAGTAAATGCGCATCTTGGGCGCAGTAAGACGTAAGTGCGAGGAAGCAACGTGTGGCAAGGCGCAATTTGTAGACAGCAATAAATGTGCGCACAAGGCGTGCACGATTCGTAGTAGATTCAACGGCATCTGGGCGCGATTTCTTCGTAGTAGACATATCACTTAAAATTAAATTGCTGTGATATTATGTAAGCCTATATAAAGCATAGTGTTTGCAATGCATTGCCCCTTCTGCAACACCTTAAACACCAATACCTTAAAACTAAAGAAGCATAAGTTCCAGCACTACTAACGACAAGATATCGAATATTGAGAGTAGACGACATTAAAGCGAGTTAGAATCAGTTATAAAACATGGTACTTAGTACAAATAATCCTAGAGTGATCCTGCTCCTCCTGTCTGCTGGGACTGGTCTGCTGCTGCCTTCTCTCTCTGCCTGACGAGACGTCCTTATATCCATCGACTCCTTGTCCTGCTGGCAGAGGTGCTCGGTACTGATTTTCGGGTGCCGGACATCCGGCCGCAACAAGGGGGTGGGTTTGCCAGACTTGCTCCAGGCGGAGAAAGTGCTTGGGTAAAGGAAGCTAGGAAGGAAGGCAGCTGCAAGGTGCGAAGTCCAACCCATCTGGTTCTGCATATTGTTGACACTCCTGGACCAAGACTAAGATCCAGGACTTTGAGAGTTTGCTATGAGGATCTGTTCGGTCGGCACGTGCTTGCAGCAAGGATATTGAAATCACACAAACCTATATACATTTTGTAGTGCACGTTATGACTCTGGGCTGTCGGAACAGGAAGTCAATAGGCAGATTGGCATGGCAACAGGGGTCATGACCTCTCTTGATGAATTTGGAGATGTCAGTACCTGTCCTGAAGGATCAAGTTGAGCTTCTCCAATACCCTGATACTACCAGTCTTACTCAATGGTAGTGATGGCTGGAGGTTATTTTCTGCCTTGGAATCTCGTCTTGATGCCTTTTGCTACAGGTCCTTGCACCTGATTATAGGGTACAGTTGACTGGACCACATGTTCAACCAATGGTTACATTGTAATACTGGTACAAA